CCAACCACAACCCCCCCCCCCCCCCCCATACCATAGCGTGGGTCTTCCCACCAAACCCCCCGCCTTTTTTTTTTTTTTTTTTTTTTCCCCCCCCCCCCCCCCCCCCCCCCCCCCCTCTTTTTTTTAACTCTCGCGCTCTTCTTTGATACGACAATGTTAACCACCTTCCCCTCTCATGACAGACACCTGGGTCGAGGGGTGGGGCACCTACTTCGTTCCGGGCTACGACGCTACCGGGCATCGGCAGGTTGACCAGTTCCGCACCGTCTTCTAGGTTGCCAATTGTCTGCTTTCTCTAATTCATTGTGCCCGTTCTCGGCCTGCTACACCGGCGCTGGACGGGCCACTTTGCTACATTTTCCTGGGCTTGTATTGTATATATATATCCGATGCGAGTTACGACGTTGAAAACATACATAGTGGGGTGAAAATAGAGGAAGAAAATACAGAATTAATCAGCAAGTCCCAAGTTCTCATGTAGCCGTGCCGTGGGCTACGTATGAGTCCGGTATCTATTGGTCTTTAAGAGCAAAGCTCGGGGGTAGTGGATAACGAGATGACGGCTTAGATGTAGGGGATTGTAATGCTCTGGACTCTGAGCCCACGCATATTATTGTCCCTCGTAATGTAGCTAAGCCAAGGCCCCCTCAAAATGCGATATCAATAACCGTCCGTTTATCGGGTTACGATAACCTCGGTAATATACGAGTAGTTCGTGAAGGCTTTGGGGGATGATAGCTTAGTAAGGCAGATGCTTCGACTGGGACTGTTATACAGAACCCAAAAAGGGGGAAGGGGGGAAGGACTCTCAAGAGTGCATTGCCAACTGGCTTATTACCAGCGACGCCATACGTTCGGTGCCTACGGGCATTAAAAAGGAAACGATTCTCGTGTATGATGGCAACTCAGTATATACATCTCCCCCGGACATTAAGATTCTTGCTCATGGCAAACATTTGAACTATTATGCAGCGCACTGGCCTCATCTGGTGTGACTATATCATGTGGATGTCTACGTAAGCGATGGTGCTACTAGATGACATGGAAGTTTTGAAGGCCAAATCCGCCTCACACCACTACACCTATCTATCTCTCAAATTTTTCGAGACTAGAAGGGTCCCCTCTCGGACTTGTTCCCAAAATGCCCAAAGCAGCCCAAAAAGCCGTTGTGGTTCCAGATGATCTTGTCTAGCGACATGCGCGTCAGCTAGGAGTCGACAAGTGATCCAGTCACATGGAGTTAGGAGACCGACGGGAGGAACATACTGAGGTCATACGTGGCCGTGGATACCCTGACACCGGACAACAAACAGGTGCAGTTGATGACGAAGTCCGTATGGCTGCCGCGGACGGTGCAGCCTTTGCAAGACCGCCAGTAGTCTCCGCTGTGCCACAGGGTCGGCGTCTTTCACAGCAGATAAGGATGGGGGTGGGGGTGTAGGGGCGAGGAGCAAACAAACCTGTCCGAGGGGGACAGTTGGCCATTGCTATTCATGAGGCAATATGAGGTATCGAACCTTGTAGATGGCGCGGGTGTAAGCTCTACTATTCAACCACAACGCAAAGGAATCGTAATATTAGTGATATCATGGGCTTACCACGTCCAGTCATAACTATAAATCTCCCAGTTGTCGTTGTTGCAATAAGCCCCAAGGTAGCTATCGACTAAGAGAGCCGTCTGCCATGTACAGTTTGCAAGGAAGCCCTGGGCATGGGCTCGTGGACTGACGGTGAGAGCCGCAAGAGTGGCAACAATGAATGGTTTCATTAAGCCGGACAGACGACTAACCCCAGGGGCGTACCTTGGGATGGAGATGCCTAGTTGTCAGCTGATGAGATGTTGATAACTGCGTAGTCACGCAGCAGTGCTTTTGCGGAGAGTGGTTATCTTTATGCTCATTAATATGAGAATAATGAGAAGACAAGGCGAGGAAGGAACCGCAAGATGTCAAACTAGAGGCATATGTTTATATTGGTTTATGTGAATGACGAGGCACATGTCTACCTACATGTAGTAAGGTAGTGAAGCTTGGATGCGAAACACGAATAGACGAGAAGAGTGAGGCGCCGTCGAGGAAATCAAGAGTACCCGCAGAGCCAGTTCTGTCTGGCCGACTCGGCAGCTGGATATTACCTTGCTCCCAAGCTGGTCGACGCACTGGACGTTTCATGTCGACTGAGCAAGAGGCAGCACTTGCCTTGAGTTGTATACCACTAGGTACGTCACGACTTAGAACCTACATATTGAAGTAGGTAGGTGGTACGGTTATGCATCTTAGATCGATACTAGCCTGAGGTAGCTATATCAACATGTGATTCGTATACGTATGGAGCAATGCTGCTCATATTCGTACCTACCCGACCCCCATGACTACTTACTTACATGACCATACGACCTCATCCAAACAACAGTTAACGTGCGTTCTTGGGGCAGTACAGACATGTACAAATAGATACAAGGTTTTCTGTATACAATTACCGGGTTTAAAGTCTAGGGAACGTAGAGGTATGTAGAGGTATGTTGGCGCATGTTAGAGCACATAAAATAATAAGGGTTATATAAGATACCGCCTCCATACCTCCTATAAAGAGGAAGACAACGCATTGACCCGGCTGACGATGCATCCAAACAACACTATGAATGGATTAGATGGTAAGGTAGGTACCAAGATGGTTGGCGGGAAGCCATACCTACGTGTGTAGCCTACCTACCTACCTCAGGTAGCTCCCCTCTCTGCGGCTTATACTTCTGGTGACGAAGGCCATGGGCCTGGCTTGAAGGCTACTATGTCTGTACCTACTGGTATCTTTACTGATACCCAGATTAATTTTGGCAATTGCCCAAACTTGAAGTGACGTGTAATGGAAGGTATGTTATAAGGATGATGCTGATATGTTTTGGGGGAAGCAGTCATAGTTATTCACAAAAACTCTTTTTGACATGCAAGACGGAGACTCCTTCCGCAGTCTCGCCCATAACATTACAGTACCTAAAGAATATCGTGAGCTACCACCTGTAAAGAATGCGTTGAACAACATATGATAGGTAAAGTATACCCAGGGGAAATATAAACTGCTTACCTGACACTCTACCTCATATAGCATGTTTTGAATCGGCATTGTATGCTGCAGACCATGAAAACTCCGAGGTAGAGTGTAGCTTCCTTCTTTGAACTGCCTATATAGGTCCACAACAGATTTGTATTCTGAATAGGTAGGAACAAGTCCGCTGCATCTGGGACTTTGCATATCCGCACGGTCCAATTCTACCTTTTATAAAGGTCTCGTTTTCCCTCTGTTCTTCTCGTCTTTCTGTTCTCTTCTTTTCATGGCCTGATCGAAAAGTCTCACGGCAATTTGCTCAGGCCGCCAGGGGCCCAACATGCTCAACGGTCCGGCATGCTATACCGTTGAGTTAAGAAACCGCGGCAGATTAAGTGATAGGACCTTGAGATGATGGATGTCTGGGGCGGTGAGTTCTTGATCAAGATTATATGCCTCGAGCCTTGTCAGAGGTGTCATAGTACATTACTCGCCTCTGACAGGTTCACGGGCAAACAATTTTTTTTTTTGCACTCGTTGGCTGGTCCAATAATGCGAAGAAGAAATCTGATATCCCTCTCACTCTCTCTATTCCTACCTACCTCTCATCGCGCATCATCTTCCCTTGTAGCTACGCGGATCATAAAGAGTCTACACATCAACTGACATGAACACCCCCTTCCTTGTTAGGTACCTTACCTGACATGTCCGTCCATTTGATGTAGAACGCACCCACAAATACTTAAGTTAACGCCACAGTAATGCCACAGCTTCTACAGCTAAGGTAGGTAGGTAAGTAACCTAGAGGGGATGCCCACTGATGTCAGTTACTCTGATTGCTCCGTCATAAAAACGTTAACTTAAAAAAGGAAATCTGGAAAGAAGAAAATTGGACAAGGCCGGAATCGAACCGACTTCTCCGGACCAACATAGTAAGAACCCGGCGTGTCCCAGTTACACCACATGCCCTTTAAAACACTGCGACAATAAATCATAATATAAAGGTTGAGCTTCATGTTTGCGGTTGCCCCTAGCTTGATCTATCTTGCAATCATACCTACTACTTAAACTTTCAACGGCCTGACTAAAGTAGGTAGGTACTTACATGTTTGCCTTACCTCGAACACCTAAATCTTCGGATGCGGTAAGTAAATGTGACCTCCAACGTGACCAAAACGTAGGTAGGTTAGGTGGCACAAAACTCACGAAACGACATCTTCGCGTACCACGCCGTACGGAATGGCAGTAGTAATCGTAGACAGCGACATGTCGACAAGTCGAATGATTACGTGGGATCGACGTAAAAACAAGAGTGTTCTATCGCCAACATGAATTTCTCGGTATCGGGATGAAAAACACCATAATCTCAAGCAGCCGACGAGGCGCAGTATGGGGGATTTGGAACGGATTGTCGACGTCCGTCATTATCTAATGTTGCAATATATACCTTCTTTTTGTACAGACAGAGATAAGAAAAAGAAAAAGAAAAAGATCCTGCTTGCTCCACGAAGTGCGTCGACGTGGGACTGGTTCCCTCGTAGAATGCAGACAGAGAGTGGCAGTGTCACGCCCGCCTCGCCTCGCGAGTAGCTATATGTATATACATGAATGTACCTGCCTCCATACTCGGCAGGGGCTCTAAACATAATAATAAAAGTACAGTAAAGGGGTTTAAGTCTAGGCGTTAGGGAGGGAGAAAAGGTTGTGATGTCCGTGGATCTTTACGGAAACAATGGCTTTAGATCATGCGGTATCGGTATGGCCGGTTCGTTTTCCCTAAGGTAGCTAGGCCACTACCTGAGGTAGTAGCCTATGCTTTCTCTGCTGGGTAGTCCTGGAAGCCAGCCGTCGGGCCATCACGGTTAAGCAACCACGGGAACCGGTCCGGCTGCCTTCGTAGAAGCTCCGGCACATCCTTGTTGTTCTCTATCCTGTCGTAGGATTGCCCTTCGCGATCCCACAGGTCCTTCCCGTTCCGGACGCGATCGGCAATACGATTGGGATCGCGATATACGTCTTGATTCATCCAGACGTGGGAGAAGGATGCCAGCTTGGTCAAGACCTCGTCAATCGTGGCGAAGCAGGTCGAACAATGCCAGCCTGCGCTCCACAGATTGCCCTTCTCAAGCTGTATGAGGGGCTGCAGGCCGCCGTCCGAGTTGCGCAGATTCACTGGGAGGATCGTCCTCCAGCCCTGGTAGTAGGTGGCTTGCGGGTGAGCCCACTGTGAGCCCTTGTGCATGTACTGGAAGCTGTAGTAATAGAAATGGCTTCTCAGGGTGAGCCGCCGGGGAAAGCTGCAGGCCTTGAGCACCACTAGGGTCTCGGGACGCACCAGCTCGTCGACGTCGGCAACGATGAGGACGTCGCCGTCCACGGGGGCTCTAGCGCCAGTCAAGCGCGGCAGCACCTGGTCGTACATGGCGTTCCGCTGGAGGTCCTCCCAGGCCCAGGCGGGATTGGCGCGGTCCGAGTGGAAACCTTCGGGGATCTCGAGTTGGTGATAGATGATCTTGTCGCGGTAGGCGGCAAAGCGGTCCATGTTGTCCTTGATAAACAACGGCTTGTCGCGGTTGGTGAAGGTCTTGGCCGACTCGACGATGACGAAGTAGTCAACGTAGTCATATGTGCCGTTGAGGCGGATCTCGAGCCACTCCAGCTCCGTGTTGACCATGATCAGGTCGTAGACTTTTCTGTCCCTCGCGTTGTTGAACGGCCGCCAGCCATGCTGGCGACAGAGACCCTCGGCCACAACGGGATTTGCCAGATCGACGTCGCGCGGATCGAAGCGGGACACGTGATGGACAGACCTGTCTGTCCAATTAGGATTCAGCCACAGGAGGAGGAGCAGGACGAGGCCGAAGACAAAGGTCAGCCGGGTGCACCTCCGGCGCGAGAGATGTGCCATTATCCTCACGGCGGAGACATGGATCGGCAAAGACTGGCTAGGTACCTAGATCAGTGTAGTGAGCGTCTTTGAAGGCCAACGTCCAGACAAGAATCTATCTCTCTAAGGAGAACCCAGGTTAAGCAGATAGAGATTCGGGGATTTAAGAACTTGGATGCCTGGAGTTTCTGCCTAAGATGCCATGAACCAACTGCACTAATCAAGTAGTTACCTAACTTGCAATTATGACGACTAATTTAGGATGTTCAGGGGCTAGAGGCTTGACTCGGGGACGCTATAGTCTATAGAAGAAAAAAAGTGGACGGCCATACCCAGCTCCAAGGAACGGACGGGTCTAGCATAGCCACATCCTGCCGAATTGGGCGTACAAGTGGAATGTAATTAGCCACTAAAGATCAATTGACCGCCGAAATAGGGGACGGGGTTTGGAGTAAGTTGCCTACGTCTTACTTAACGAAGTAGACGTTTTTCTTATCTAACTGATGGGTCGACTAGACTAAGTGGAATTATACACTGGGTACTGTTTAAATAATCTATTCAGGTCATGTATTTGTACCTTCAACATGCAAGAAAAGCACATAGCGTGCTGTTCTTTATAATTATATAAAGACACGGAGACCGAGAGATGACGGCCCTACCAGATAGGTGGAGCAGACACATCTTCTCCGCTACCAGGTGGCCCTGGCATCATCACAGGTCGCGCGGGTTCTGCGGACGGCCATGCAGCAGCGGCAGGGGACGGCCAAGCCGAATTTGGCCTAAGTCAAATGGAACGCCGGCGTATGACTACTACACCGGCACCCCGCCGACACATCCCGGTGCTATATCATTGCGAACGTCCTGGAGAACATCCCCGCGAACTCTCCCGCGTGTTTTCCCCCCCATCCGCATCCGCCTCATGACACGGCAAGCCGACATCATGGGCGAAGTCACCAAGGACGCAGCAGGCCTCTCGGCCAGCAGCTGGGTCGGTCACCAAGGTGCCGCCGCCTTTGACTTTAGGAGTGAGTACCGTATCCCGTCCTGGTCCTAGTCCTAGTCCCCGTCATCTCGATGATAAGTCTACGGCGCGGACGACCAAGCCGAGTTGCCGTTTTCCCACCGTGGTCTAACCATCCTCCACCCTGCCTAGGCGATACCATGACCACGCCCACCCTGGCCATGCTGAATGCCGTCCAGACCACGACGCTGCTGGACGACGTGTTCCAAGAGGACCCCACCACCTTGGACCTTGAAGCTCACGTGGCCGCCCTGGCCGGCAAGGAGGCTGGTCTGTTCGTCCTCTCGGGCACCATGGGAAACCAGATCGCCCTGCGCTCACTGCTTACGCAGCCGCCTCATGGCGTCCTCTGCGACCGGGAATCCCACATTGTCAAATATGAGGCCGGCGGGTGAGATATATTAATCGTCGTCACCATCATTATCTTCCTCCACCTCCTCGTCCTCTTCTCTCCTGCTCCCTCTTCCTTTTTCGTCTTCTTCTTCGTCTTCCTCCCCTTGCCTCTGGTACGAAATCGACTACCCCACCCCGTTGCTTACTTATCCCATGCCCTTCACTCCTCCGCTTGGAAAAAAGAAAAAGGGGAAAAAGGAGACAAAAAGGGGGGCGGGTTGGAAGACGGAAGAGGAAAGAGGAAGAGACAAGGGGGAAGAGGAAACATGAAAGACGCAAAATATATAATCCCTGTCCCCGTACTGACCAGGCGAGCCACACAGCGTCGCTTCTCTATCCGGGGCCCTCGTCACGGCCGTCCGGCCGAGCAATGGCCGCTACCTCAGCCTCGAGGACATCCAGGAGAACGTCGTCCTGAGCGACAACGTCCACGCCTGCCCGACGCGCGTCATCAGCCTCGAGAACTCGCTCAACGGCCTGGTCATGCCGCTGTCGGAGGTGCGGCGCATCTCGGCCTTCGCCCGCGAGCACGGCATCCGCATGCACTGCGACGGCGCGCGCCTCGTGAGTACTGAAACTTTCGGGGTTCCAATTTTCTCACCGTTCGAGTAGCGTGAGAGCAGTCCCGAAATTGTCTCGTGGGGGGCATGTTTCGGGGGCTCTGAACCTGCTCAAAAGAGTAAATTACTGACGCCGACCGTTCTAGTGGGAGGTCGTCGCCAGCGGCGCCGGCTCCCTGGCCGAGTTCTGCGCCTGCTTCGACACCGTCAGCCTGTGCTTCTCCAAGGGCCTGGGCGCCCCGATCGGCAGCATCGTCGTCGGCACCGAGGGCCTCATCAAGCAGGGCAGGTGGGTGCGCAAGGCGATCGGCGGCGGGCTTCGGCAGTCGGGCGTCGTCACGGCCGCCGCCCGCGTCGCCGTCGACGTGACCTTCGGGAAGGACTCCGACGGCCGAGGCGGTCTGCTCAGGGCCACGCACGACACGGCGCGACGCGTCGAGAAGATGTGGACCGACCTCGGAGGCCGCCTGGCCCAACCCGTCGAGACGAACATGTGCTGGTTGGACCTGGACTCGCTGGGATGCAGCGCGGCCAGGTTCGAACAGCTTGGCCGGGAGGTGGGCTTGAAGCTCATGGGGAACCGTCGTATGTTGCCCCCGCCTCCCCCCTTTTTTCTTCAGCATTACATCGCTCCTTTGGTTTCGGCGAGTGGTGAACATGTCATTTCCCCCTCTCCGTCACCCCACTTTTTCTTTTCCTTTTCTGAGAAGGGTTCCTTCCCCCCCTAGAGCGATGGCTGATACCTACCGGCTGTTTATAGTGATAACCCATTACCAGATAGGGGAGGAGGCCATCCAAAAGTTGGCCACCGTCTTCCAGCAAGTAGCGCAGGAGAGCAAAGCTGGTGTTCAGCCCGCGAAGGATTCCGCAACGGGGATCTATGGACGATAACACCCGCCACCCTCTACCTCCTGTATAAAAGCCGGGAAACGTGTATATACTACGACCCTGGCAGACGCCGTGTATGTAGTGAATTATGCTGTCGTAAGTTGGCACCGGTGAATAAACTAAAAAGCTTACCACGTCAGATTCAGTTAGCAAAAACATTGCTCTTGACACAAGTGTTAGATACCATCATTATGAATTTTTTTTATATTGCATCTCCGTA